AACTCATTTCCCCTGGGGGAAAGAGTGGGGGTCATTCAAGCTTTCTTCAGGACCTGCTGCCTTTCGGCATTGTTTTGGTCTTGGGCACGCTGTGATGGGAGAGGAACATCCAAGCCCCTGCTGTGTTCCTTCTTACACACTTTGTTGCAAAGTTTGGGGACAGCTTTCAAGTGGACCTTGAAACTGGTGGGGCTATAGATGGGAAGGGGAAATTCCAGAGAGGTAGCCATGTTAGTCTGCTCTGCTGTAGCAAACTAAAAACAGAAGTCAAGTGGCACCTTACAGACGAACACGCTTGAATAAATGTTAGCATTTAAGGTGCCACCAGACTTCTGCTTTATACAGGAAACTCTGAGCCACAACCCATGAATCAGTGTCCTCAGGTCAGCTGCGTTCCCCCTACAGCCTTGAATTATGCCTAATGTAGTGGAGCAGAAACGCAGCAGCTGTCCTAGGAGAGAATTACCCTGCCAAGGCCTCAGAACAGCTGTAGGAGTCACAGCCACTGGGGTCCCTCATCTCGCCATATCCTGCTAAGCTGTGGCTGCATTTGCTTGGTAGCTTGTAAGTTGTAACTTGATTCCCTTCTTGTTCTGCTCTGCACAATTAGTGCCATAAATCGACCATTAAAATGCTGAGTGATAGGCGTGCCCCCTCTGCAGGAACTCCTGGAAATTGTAGCCCGTCCTTGCATGGAAGAATACACCTGTAGGTGCAAAGCTATTACAGAGGGGTTTTTTTTGCTTAAAAGGGCTGAGACCAGAGATCCCTTCCTGTTGCAAATAAGTGACAAGTTTGTGTGTATGACTCTGAACTGCCCTCTCCAACCTCAGAAACCGCTGGTCTCTCATCTTCTGTCTTCTTCTTTGCTCTTAGGAATAGGTTACCCATCTTAAATGCTGGTTGCAATTGGAAGCTGAGCAGGGCTAGTTTCTGAAGCGGCCCAAGTGCTGGTGAGGCCAAAACTTCTTTTCTGGCAGACCTTGTTGGGTGCTGTTTTGACACATGCCACCTTCTGGGCTATGACCTGTGGTGTCTCCACAAAAGAAAGGGAGGCAGTTGCTGTGGGACAGTGCACAGAATGGGTTGTTCAGTGCGTGTTGACAGAAGTGGGAAGATGTCCAGTTATGTGAACTGAACCATGTGTGCTAATACTTTGTTAACTCAGAAGCATATAGTTTGGCACCTTCACTTACTAGATGTTTCCCTTTATGTCCAGATCTAATATTTTGTTGGGCCTGTGTATTTTTACATTCTTTTTTTTAAAAAAATCTAACATTTTTAGTGCTTAATAATTTATTTCAGAGCGCAACTGATGTCTATTGAGAGACACAAGGCTGAGGATCTTGCTTTGCGAGCCCTTGTTCCCAATTGCTTGCTTCACCCGACCAGAGATTCTCTTCTCTCTTTGTGACTCTCCCATGGGTGCTCCTGCACTTTAGAGGAGCCAGGAATGTTAAGAAGCAAGACTGAGACTTGTTGAAACCAATAAAATGTGAATGTATTTAAGGAAATGATAAACGTCCTTCCTTGTGTTTTTGTTCATGAAAAGAGCACATGATGCAGATCCATGAGAAACCACAGCCAGTTGCACCAGGTGTGCCTGATACCTGCCTCTGTGGTTGCAGCCAAGAGCTAGCAGTGGAGTAGTCTTGGGTGCCTCCTTCCATTGAGATCCAGGATGGAGAACAGGTGGAAGTAAAAGCTTCATGGGAGATGGATGCTGTTAGATTTCACACTCTGGGTGCTTCAAGAGTTTGGAGCACCTTCTGGGGCTATTTAGTTTTTGTTTTTTTTTAAGTTGGCTAGGGGACATGACATGATTCCACAGAGTACATAGAAAATGGGTACCGAGAACTATCTCCCTCTCCCATGATACTAGAATATACAGGCGCCGAATGACACTGATGAGCAGTAGGTTCAAGACAAACAAAATACTACTTCGTGCATTGTGTAATTGAAAGATTACGCACATTCCTTGAGGATATCAGTGGTTGAGTCATGATGTCTAATGGGAACTGAGATGTTTGAGGCAGTAACTCTCTGAATATCAGTTGATGGGGTCATCTATAGGAGGAGGTTTGGTTTTCATGACCTGCTTATAGGCCTTCTGGGGCATTTGGCCACTGTGGGAAACAGGACGCTACACCAGATGGAGCGCTAGTCTGATCCAGCAGGGGTTGCTGTATGTTCACTGTTCCTTATGGACCATCCGTTCAGTACCACTGTGTGCTAGAGGGTTCCTGGTGGATTTGTGCTTTGAACAAGGAGGATTAGATACTCATTCTAACCACAAGGAGGAGATTGAAGATCAGGGTCTGGAGCTAGAAAACACTACATTCAATGTGGGGTTGAGTCCACTGGATATCTCAGAGCCTTTTTTTAATACAACTCCAGGACATAACTGTTGGCTGATCAAAACATCTGAGGCGGGTGAAGTTCCACCATTCCACTTAAATGGAGGTAGACCTTCTTGGCTTAAGCCTTTTTGCTTTTTTCTCATTCCAGGCATCTTGTTGCAGTTACATTTTTCACTGAATTGGCTTGTCTTTTTGTCAACTGAGGAGCGATGGTGTTACCCCTAGGAAGAATTTTACTCTGAATTCATGTGATTAACCCCACTAAGTAATTAGCCCCTACATTTCTCTCCCCACACCCCATACCTTCTAGCCATCTGGCTGTTTGCTAGGCAACTGAAGGCTGTTGGGCTTTGCTACAGCAGTAGAGCTAAAACCATAACCCCAAGATATGTTGATTATTTTATTGCATCATGGTAGGTTCTGGTGCAGGAATCTAGAAGATGCTGAAACCGCAAAACATTAATTTGGGATAATTATCTGCCTCTTTCAGCCTGAAGGTACCTGATGAGCTGTACACTGTATTCAAGTGCAATACTTGCAGCTCTGGGAATCATTCTGTACAGATAGCCGTGAGGCCCACAACAGAGTGGGGTGTGATTGTCACTGTTTAAACTAGGAAGCCGTCTGCTTGCGGGCATGGAAGTGACATAGGACAGTGTTATCTGTTAAATTTATATTCCTCCATTATTGAGCTCAAAATGGTGTGCGGTGGAGTGGGGAGAGAGGGGATTTGCAGGAGACCTTCAGTTTGGGCGCTGCATCGTGTTTCTGCCCACCATACCTTGTATCCTCTGGGCCGATTGATGTGCCACTTCTTTTATTTTGGTGCTGGCCTCTGTCCCCTGAGAAACCTTGCTGGTGCTCCTTCAACACCTTCTTCTCCCTGCTTGAAGCACAGGAGCCAGTCTTGGCTCTGAAGCAACCCTGGCCTTCCATGCATTCCCTTGGTGCTATTGAGGCTGCCCTGACCCCGCCCTGCCCCCCCCGGGGAGTGGAGCAGCCTGGTTTGGCAGTGAGAGAGCCGGCCTTGTTTACGTGGCTTGTTCCTGATCCTCAGCCGATCTTAACACCCACAGGGTCCTTTCAGTGTAGAGAAAGAATGGTTGTGGTATGTGGGAGAGCTGTGGACAATGTGCTCGATTGATAGACCCACACGTTCCTATTGGCGTGGGTGCTAAGTACGGAGATCAGGGCTGGAAGATGGGGTGGGACAGGACAGGAGCCGGGCAGAAGGGAGCAGAGCATTTTCATTTTGGGGAGGGCCTTCAGATTCGTCAGTCATGTGATAACAGGCTGGGGAATGTTTACATACCCTATTGAAGAAGAACTAAGCAGGATCATCTCACACTTCTCTTGAGGGTCTCTCACATTTTATCACCACAGGACAAAAACATTTTGTTGCTAGGATACACTGTCAGTTCCACCCAGTTTTTACAGTGTGTTGCTGTATAGCAGTCAAAACAGCAGATATGCCCGCAATTGGCTAGTGCCTGTGACATCATGGGTGAGCAGCAACACTCTAGCGTAACACTGACACCCTTTTGTGAAATGTCTTTAGAAGTGGATTGTTCCAGAGTTGTATCACTGGAATGTTCATGTAGCCCTTCAAAACACCAGCAAGTCTCCTCCCCCTGCATCAATACCCTGCCATCTTGTAACTTTTGAAACAGTATTTTTTTCCCCATTCAATTCTCTGAAGCCTTTTCTCTGGTTCTATACACTAGTGGGGGATGTGGGTTTTTTTAAAACTGAGGGTTAGGAGTGCAGCTGTCCTCAGGAGCAAAGGCACTTCCCCATCCATTATAGTGGAAGAAGACAGCTTTAGTGGTGGTTTCTAATACTACTAACAGACACTGCAGTAGTGCAAGTAATAGTGATAAGGATGGCCCCTTGTAAGTCTTAGCACTGGAAAAGGACCCTGTAGAATTCTGCCTCTTGGAGGTGGCTCTTAGATTCAACTCCAGGCAGTTTTTGTCTCCCTCTAGTTCAGTCCATGTAACATAAAAAGCTTACCAACCCTGTAAGAATCTGTAGAGCACGCTGCAATGGGTGATGTCAAATGGACAAGACAAGCAAGCAAAATGTCCGTGTGTGTGTTCAGACATTCTTGAATTTTATTTTCTTTAATTTTATAAAATACACCTTGTAAGATAAGTCTCTAAAAACATGATCTTTTATGCTTTGTTAAAAAGTTGAAATTCAAAATCAGAATGATGAAAACACTTTCAGCTTATTAACTATTTTTTCCTGTATTTCTTGGGGAGAGTGAGGGGGCTGGGGGACATGGGTGCTGGTTATGTGTTAGTTAAATCAAAGTGAAATACGAAATATGGGTGACTTCACTTGTCCTGATCTTGAGTGGCTTCTTATTGTCCCACCCCCTACCCACCCTAATCATAGTCCTTCCTTTGCCCTGTGTGTGTTGACAGCCTAACCAGTTTGATCTAGGCCAGCATTCAGGGCTATTTTGGCCTGTTCTCCTTCTCTCTAGCATCCCTGCTGTCCGCCACTGTGATTTTGGTTTCCCCAGTAGATAAGCACCAAACCTTGGTCTCTCTACTCGTGGTTAAGTAGTGAAGGTTAGGGCTGAAACTAGGAAGTCTTAGTAGCCATGGACCATTTGCTTTCTGATGTTTTGGTTGTGTCACTTCCAGAGATTACCTGCTGGCTGGTTCTCTTTGCACAGTGACATAATGAAGTCCAAGTCCTATGTTGGTGTCTCCAGTTTTTCTTAAAAGAAATTTTGGCCTGCAGATTTTTATTTGGCACACGATGAGGTTCATTCTGCATAGTTAACAACTCATTTCAATTTTCTGGAATGACAATTACCCAGAATCTCTCTAAATCTGACTGTATATTAACAAAGCTGGGAGATTTCAAATATTCAGGATTCAGATAATGTTTGTGGCAAGTGTCTGCAGCTAGCTGAAGACAGCAAATAGCAACAAGAACCAAAAGAGCAAATATTAGATTCTGCAAAAGATCATCTGTGTATGGAATATATGGAAGCAAATGTCACTGGGAGAAAAGAGCACCATTGTGAAGGTTGGAGAAAGTTCAGTTCCACAGCTGGTTACGAAAGAAAAGGCATATAGTACAGATGTGCGGTCCAAAAGAGTTATTCCACATACAGCAAAGGCACCTCTAGCATTACACACTCAAACTACTGGTTATTACAGATGCTCTTAGGCTAACACCAATATCTGCCCAACTGGTTAGCAACATGGCAGCACAGAGGAAGCAAGAAGAGCAGCCTGGCTCTTCTCTTTCAAAGTATGGAGACAAGAGGCCCCCTTGGGTGCAGGGGCACCAAGCTCCTTCAATGCTTTCAGTAAGATTGGTTGGGTTAAGAGAAGGAGGGATCTGGTAGCATCGGAGGCAGGGTCAGTGCTCTCTTCCTATGTCAGGAAGATCCTTGCTCTTAACCCCTTGCCCGGGCGGTGGAGGGTAGGATCCTGTAAAGGTTTGTTTCATTCTCGTGTCCTCCATCACTTGTTCAAAGAGTAATGGGAGTTCCATCTTCTGTGGCATCAAGAGAAGTCTCTAGCAAGCTCCAAGTGCTTCCTTCTCCCTCCCTCTCTCTCTCTCATAGGATCACCTTTCCACAACAAGCATGATTTCATCTTTATCCTTTGTCTTTGGGAGCAGAAAAGCCGGAGTGAATTTGCTGCATTTCACCTTGCAAACTGAGGGAAGGAAATCCCTTTTCTTTTGCAGACCTCTTAATTTTTTGCCACGAGGCCAGATAGCATCAGAGGTACGTGGGTGCAAAGAGCTCTGCTGCTGGAAGGGGGTGTCTCTTCTCCCTTGCCACACACCCAGTGTCAAATAGCATAGAGGAAGAGGAGGGCAAATCAGCAGAGTTAGAGTAGGAGGCTTGGCGTAGTGTGACTGCATCAGGTTAAAGCCTTGTCGTTAGGGGACGAAGGGCGTCTTGTAAATGGGACATCGACTCCCTCGTCGTTTAGAACTTTGTGCCCCGGCCCATGAGCTTGAGGACTGCAAAGTTGTAGGTGGCCGCAATGATGAAAGTGAGCTGGTGGGGCAGAAAGCAGGAAGGAAGGAGGAAATGAGAGCAGAAGGGTAGCACGCTGCTCCCCCCAAAAGTAATATAGTAACCCTACCCCCCCCGGGAGTCCTGCGGTGGCCCTCCAGGTGCGCTCCTGCAGTGCCATCCATGTGATAAGGGCAAGAGCATGCGAGGAGGGACTCTCAGGACTACGGCATGTTTGGAAGCTGTTTGAGCCCGGGCTTTTCCAAGTGTGATGCTGAACATCTTTCTTCAGACTTATTTTTAGTGGCCAAACCTGGGATTGCCCATTTTGAGTTAATTGGACATTTGTTTTAACATTCTTACTGTGCTGCTTTGTGGTTTGGTTTTAAATGTTACTGAGCTGACTTTCTGTATAATTTTTGGATGAAAATTAATGCTGCTATTCCTGTTATTAAAAGTCTGTGTTTTTGGCATAGTAAGTGGAAAAGGGATGGGACTTTGCTGTCCCTAGAGGTACTCTGGCCTTTCCTCCACAGGCTTCTAAGACTGCACCCCTTGGCTCCCCCCCCCCACCCTTGCTCCCACTGGAGACTCTCATTGCCACCCACTCAGCCAAGAAGTGTTAGCTCAGTTCTGGGACTCACATCTGCAAATCAAGAGTGGCAAAGACTGTGTCGGGATTCTGCGTTTTAGAGGGTCTGACAGACTGGAATTTATTCCCCCTGATCGGATGTTAATATTGACCTATGAGCATTCTGAGCCCAGCTACACTGTTCCTTGGCCGTCTTATGTTGGCTAAGCGCACTGTTTATTTAATGTACTCCACCTTGAGTCCCAGTGAGAAAGGTGGACTATAAATAAAGTAAATAAAATAAAGAGAACAGCTCTTAAAGGAACAACTTACCAGCGCCACCAGTGTGATTGCAGCCCCAACAAATGCTGCAATGAACAGATGGAAAGTCATCTGAAACTGTAAGGAAAGGACAACAGCAGATATCAGTTCTGGCTGCCTCTGAACAGGCATGCTGTGAGGAGCCAGTGGCCCATGGAGTCCAAGGTCAAAATGCATGCTACTACGCTCTCAGGCTGGCAGAGGAGGAGGGGAAGAGAGCTGCCGCGACATCACATCTAGTCAGCTTTGTTTTCCTCTTGCTCCATAGGTACCTACGGCCCAGAGGCCTGAGCATCCTAGAAGGCCGTGATAATGTCCCCTGTACTTTTCGTCAACTAGCAACCGAGACATTGCAGTTTACTCAGCGATGAGTGAATTAAGGAATGGCAAATGGCCAAATCAATGACTAATGAAATGTGTTCAGGAAGAAATGGGAGTCCTCTGGGAGGCAACCAAAAGCAGAGTGGGCTCACCTGCGGCTTGCAATATGGCTCGGGGGTGTCTGCTTTATCTGCAAAAGATCTCACATTCAATCCCTGACATTTAAAAGGAGTAGGGAATATGTGAGCTGAGAGACCTCTGCCTCTGGACAGCCCCTGCCAGTTAGATAATACTGAGCTTGATGGACTGATGGTCTGCCTCAGTATAAGGCTGTTTTGCGTAATATGTTCTGTAACGATTTCATACAAAAAAGAAGCCACTCCAGGTGAGTTTCAACTTTTCCTTTTCAGTTCTCTTTTTTGTTGGGAACTCACCTCGGCTGTCTTGCAGATGGAAAGAAGGCTTTGTCCACACACTCTTCCTGGAGATGCATTCCAGGGTAGGACACCTGTGTGGGACACAAGACATCCAGAGTAAATTGATAGCAGATTAGGTAGCTTCCCAAAAACAGAGCAAATCTTCCTGCTATAGGCAAGTTTGTATGGAAAGTGGAAGACAGATGAGTTACTGGTATGCAGAACTGGTTGACTGAAAGTAAACGATTCAATACACTGGCTTGCTTTTTCTCCAGAGAACCTTTTCTGGTCCCATGCAACCTAATCCACCAGATAGGAGAAGTAGGGGAGGAGGATTTCAGAGAGTTTTCAGGAGGCCCAAGAAAACTGCTCTAAGAAAAACTCTTGGTTTATTCCATGGGAGCATGTTTTGTTTGATAAACATTACTGACTGACTGTCTTCTGGGTGTGAGGAAAGTAAGATCAGATTCTCAGGCTGATTCCCAGGAAATGACCCTGCAAAGATCTCTGGCTGTCTTCTCAAGAGAACTAGCTCATCTCTTCTCTTCAAGGCTCTCTTTCCACCAAGGAGGACTCGCTCATTGAGAAGAAGAGCTATGCATTAGCCATGGTGCCAATGGACACCATGAGCAGTGGTCTCCCACTGGGAAATGTTAGCTTTTGCAAGGCCAAGAATGCACACCACTCACCATACATCCTGGCATCAGTGCATAGGTTGCCAATGCTGGCTGAAGTCTTGCTAGGGTTTGCAATGGAGTTGCATGTTGTCCAAGTGCTGAAGTAGATGTAGACAGGGACTGCAGAGCAGGCCAGGACCAGGAGCCAGATGATGGCCAAGACGTAGGTTATGCCCACAAACTGAAACAGTCAAAATCAGCAAGAATTGTCAGTGGACAGCTGGGAGCCTTCAGAGACAAGGGCATGAGACTGGAGATCTGCAGACTGAAATGACCTGGGAAAACCTCTTCCAATTGGAGAGGGAAAGGGCACCTCTAGCCAATTGGGTGGCAGAAGGGCTAAGCAGCTCTGCCCATTGCATCCATGCAATGTACTAATACACACAACTGTGGCCTTTCTGCACAACTGGTTCTTAGTGACATGAATGAACACAGGTTTATTTGTTGTGTGCAGTTGGCACATCTTCCCTGAAGCATATGCATATCTGTAATGGGTTACACAACATACTCTCCAGGACTAAAAGCACAATAGTCTGTATCTGGGGAAACGTCAAAGAGCTGTACAGGTGCAGATTGCAAAGGTAATGGTTTTGTAATTGCTATGCAGGATGTGACCATGAGAGCACCACATTGACTAGGATGTGGGCACAATCTATTACATAATAAGGGTAGCATAAGAAAGTGTGCACATACTCGCACCCTTGTTATTGTTTAGCCCTAGGCTATTCTTGGAAACTAAGAGTCCAGTAGCACCTTAAAGACTAACAACATTTGTGGACTCTTACTCTTTTCTACTGCTACAGACTAACGTGACTACCCATCTTGATCGATCTATTTGGAAACTTCATTATATAATCGCCCATGTAGGAGTGCTCACTTAGGCATGTCCTTTTTAAAAGCAACACACCTCCAGCGGCCTCTTTTGGGGAAGCGATAATGTTTCCTTTTAAAAAGAGGATATGATAGCTGTCGTTTTCCTGTGCCACAGCTTACGTCTTTCCACGTTTCTTTGAAAGGTAAGGACCAGCTGCCTAATCTACAACAAGGGTTATCATTCTCTATATTACAGATGAACACAATGTTGGTATTTTGTGCAAAAGTGTGTGTGTGTGACATTTTCATTGTGCAGAAAAGCCCCAATCGTGCAAACAATGTTTCTGAATGAGTCAGATGGCCAAGGAGAGGAGCACTCAATTATGCATGTGTTTAACTTATGCAGTTCTTTCTGTACCACCTCTGGGTTGCACTTCTGTAGTGTGCTTCCCAGGACTTGCTTGCACACCAGAATTTGTATCACTGTGATATCTGTCTCCTAAGAGTAATTTGTACATATGCGTGATTTAGTTGCATGAGGTAAGGAATTGTGTGCTCCTGCCTCTGAACATCTGGCCCAAGAGGTGCAAAGATGAAATTGGTCTTGAGAGAAAACAGCACTTGCTCTGCTCAGCTCCCCTGATCTGAACCAATCTTGGTTTGTAAGCTGTGAGGTCTTATTCTATTTAAAATGGGCATTTCTGAAGCAACTCCACTCGTTGAAGGACAGGCAGCTCAGCAACTTTGAATGTCTGTTGCAAAGTTGATTTGGCCTTTGAATGAGCAGCAACAATGCAGAGATGCCAAGATGCCTCTCTTACCCTTTGTCTGGAAGGGCTTGCATTTGCTCTCTGTTGGTCAGATGGACATGAAGTCCAATCCCGCTTTCTGGCACAACCATGAATGGAGCTTTCACCATTGCTTTTTTTGTGTGCGATTAATACAGGGTTTGGTATTCTTTATGGGGCGGGACAGCAGTGAAGAGATCAAGAACGTAAGTTCAATAGCCCAGACTTTAAAGAATTGCCACACATGCCTCACCTGTGTGCATGTTCAAAAAGTGTGGGTGATGGTGAGCCAGTGGCTCAGAAATGCCCATTTTAAGAATGTGGGCAGCCAAAAGCCCAATCAATCAGTTGTGAACTGTTTTCCCCTTTCCCACCTGCTTTTGGTTGAGGTACTTGCACATGCTGAGAAGCCATGAAGCTGGAATTTTATTATAGGCAGCCCAAGTGCGTCATGTGACTTTGATGAAAAGACTGGCAACCATTTCCCCGCAAACCGCACTTAGAGGCTGAAGTCCCATTGACTTCCAGGAAATTCTGGACTCCTCAGTAGCCCAAGATCCAGGCTGTTTGACCAAATAGAGGGACTTGTTGCAATGAATAACCATTGCACAACACTGTCCAGGTCTATGAGAACATTTGGGCACAGTTCCCTCTTATGATACTGTAATTACAAGGTAAGTTGAGATGCCTCAAAGCAACTGAGAGAGTAGGGAGGCTGGTAGATAAAACATGAAAAAACATGATGAAGGAGGGGAACGGGAGACGAATGAATTAGCATCAGTAAAGGATAAAAGTAAAGGTGACAATTGGGGAGATTCTACATAGTGATGACAAGGGATGCACTTGACCCTGGAGGAGCAGAGAGAAGGGAAGGAAGGGGGCGAGCAGTCCTGGTGCAGTTTTCTTTCTAAGATGCTGTCAGTTCAGTGCAGCTGCTCCCTCCAGTTCCTGATGCCTCCGCCGCACCAGTCACCGCCGTCTCATGCCCATCAGTCCATGGCCATGCCACTCAAGTCGCTCAAAGGATAAGCAAACTCTGCATAAGATCACCTTGTCAGGATGTCCTAGCCATTTTCCCAAACAGTGACACACCAGCTCCATAGAGTGAGCTTGACGGTGTCCTCTGGAACCCCTCCCCTTGTGGCCCCCTGTTACCGTAGCGCTGAGGCCCCTGCCACAGATGGTGGTCTTGTAGTCGCCAAAGATCTGCCTGACAGCGCCAGTGGTGTAAAAGCCTTCGGCCAGCAGGAGGGCTCCAAAGAGGAAAAAGAAAGCGGCGACCCCATAAATGGCATATTGGAAGTCATGGATCCTGCAGAGGGATAAAAGAAGGGAGGAAAGTGGGGTTTTTTTGCTTTTGTTTCATTCTGATCCCAGGACTGGATTGATGAGAAACTCTTTGGACTCTGAGCAAAGCAGACTCTCGGTTGCAGCAGGGCCTGGTCTTGGCCCAGTCATTCAAAAGGGTCTAGGGGGATTCTGAGGTCCTAGATCATGGGAGAGGGAGAAGAGAGGAGGCTAGCCCAGCCTGGATTGCCAAAAGGAGGCCCACCGTGTGATGAGGAGGCATCTAGGCTCATGCATGGGTAAATGATGGCCCTGGAAAGTGGAGAACCTCTGCCTAGCAGCTGGCTGGAGTCCTCCATATCTATTATACTTTTCGAGGAACCCACTATACTTACCAAGGATCCAATAGAAAACATACTTGAGCAATAAACACATGGTGAAGGAACACAGAATGTATAGCCTGTGCCACAAGGGCTAACGCAGTGGCTTTTCAGGGTTCAGGAATGGGGCTGAGTCAACATGGCAGAGGCCCTTTGCTGGAATCAACAACTGCTTGTAAGTGGGGCAGCACCGAGAGTCAGTTGTGCCATATAGGCAAACTAGGAGGTTTCCTAGGATGCTTTTAGGTAAAGGTAAAGGTTTCCCTTGCTCGAAAGCCAGTTGAACCCAACTCTAGGGTTGCGGTGCTCATCTCCGTTTCAAAGCCGAAGAGCCAGCGCTGTCCAAAGACATTTCCATGGTCATGTGGCCAGCATGACTAAACACCGAGGTGCACGGAACGCTGTTACCTTCTCACCGAAGTGGTACCTATTTATCTACTTGCAATTTCTTGCTTTCGAACTGCTAGGTTGGCAGGAGCTGGAACTAGAGATGGGAGCTCACTCTATCATGCGGCACACTCGGGTCTCGAACTGCTGAACTACCGACCTTCCACAGCCTGCAGTTCAGCGTCTTAACCACTTGAGCCACCGCAGCTCCTAGGATGCTTTTAAGGGGCACCAAATTAGATGGAACTGATTTTTCCTCTATTTATATAAGTTATCTTTCATAAATTTCCTCTATTTATATAAGTTATCTTTCATAAATTAAAGGATCTAGGGTGCCAAAAGCCCATGGGCTAGCCATCCCCCAGGCTACAAATGAGGTGACTCAGCGTGCCAAAAGCCCATGGGCTAGCCATCCCCTAGGCTGCAAATGTCTGTGTATGTTCCAGAATGGTCACCTGAAACATCTGTGGCCATTTTGGAGTGCTTTGCCAAGGGCTGTGGAGTACCTGGTCTTCAGATGGGGCTAGCCATGCAGGTCTTCCAAGTGGGACTCCTTTAGCAAAGTTATACTGAAGCATTCAATTTGGGTTGAACTTAGATTGTGGGGGCTTAAATGCTGTTACAACTCAGGTGGGAAACAGTAAGACTTAGTCTTGGTTCCTCAGCCCAAAACTGAGCAGCATTGGCTGGAACAGGATATAGGAACATCAACCATGGAGAGGATACTTACACATCAATCAGAAACTCATAATCCTGATAGTTTTTGGAGAAGTAGGTCTCGATCAGGTGCTCTGTGCCAGTGAGTGCTTCATGCCCACAGCCACAAAAGAGTGCTACCCCCAAGAAACACAACCCAGTGGCAACCAGTGAGGCAAAGGGTGCCCCAATAAGACATCTTGCACAGCAATCTAACAAACCTGGGGGGAGAAAAGAGAAACCCCATCAGCAGCAGAGAATCTGTACACTATCATGGTGAGAGAGAGAACAGTTTGGAGGATGGGAAGTGTATGCAGTGGTGGCGGTTAAAAGGAAGTATATTAATACAGGAATGAGACATAGGGGGAAGAGGGAAATGTCCCATGGCATTAGTTAGTCCACTTATAATGAACCAGTATTTCAGAAGACCTAAATACAAATCTCTTAGGTAAAAAAACTCAACGGGAGCTTTGCTCTCCGAAGGAAAGCGGCCAGCTCATTCAGCAGAGGAACAGAGGAACCGAAGTGGATGGGGTAAGAGTCTCTTCCACCTGAAGGCAGATGACTCACCTAACCTTCACTTGTGGCTAGCTGGGGCTTCACTTGTGGCTAGCTTTGCTTCCACCTGAAGGCAGATGACTCACCTAACCTTCACTTGTGGCTAGCTGGGGCCCCCTTCAAAGCTTTCTTAATCATAATTTGGTGGAGGCATTTGGCCCCGGAGTTTTGGTTCAGGCACATTGCTGTCCCTGCACTCAGAGAGACACCATCTTTGCAGTCTTTTGGTTCTTTTAACTCCTCATGGTTTTCAAGCCAATCGCATGATTTAAGGCTCCAAGATCACTATGACCAATTAGGCTGGCTTCCAGAAGGAATTTAGACCTGGAATTGATTTCTAGAGCATCTGTGGCTAGGTATAACCCACAGAGCCTTTGCAGGCCACACCCTGACAATTTGGCCTCTCCTTTCTAGCACCAAAGTTTAAAGAGGTAGAGAAAGTTGAAGAAGGTACTGAAAGTTGAACCAGGTTATGCAAATGTACCTGGATGAGGAAAAGGCTGACACATGATGATGCAGACAAAGAAGGACCCAGCCGGCTGGTCATTCAGAAGCCTTTTTTATACAAGGGTATATTGCTTGCATGGACAAATGGGGTCTGTTCCCTTTGGACCTTCCGATCAATAAGACAAATGTACGATATTTCTCTAGCACTTCAACAGTGTTGCTTTAATTTTAGAGAAGCTGGACATCACCTCAAGAGAAGCTTGATCCCAAGGCAGAGCTTAGTGCTGCTGCAGACCCCTGAAATCACACTCGAGCAGACCCCCGAAATCTCCTTGCATGGGTCGGCTCTGCGGCACCCCAAACATCTGAACCTCCGCTTGTATCCAACTGGGCTAGCATCACACTCTGTCCTTGTTGCATTCAGGGACAGGGATATGCCCATCTGTGGACTTTGGGGGAGGGAAGCAGAAATGCAGAAGAATTAATCTTGACTGACAGCAGCAATAAGCCAAGCTAAGCTATTGCCATCCCCATTACTTGGCAAGGAGTCAAAACGTAGTAGCTCAGTCCTTCCCTCTGGGCTTTCAACCGGACTGCTGGATGAGACCCACAGAGTGGATGCATCACTTTGGACAGCTCTGCCTAAAAGGTGCTCTCGGCAATTGGCATGTTAAGGACATGGGGGGTGGAATCTGCCTGAGCCCTCAGCAGGGAAGGGCTGAGTTCCCTCCAAAAGGGAGCACATTTTGTAAGGGGAATGAGGCTGGGCAGATGAGGAGACACAGCTGTCTTGCCCTGTCCAGACCCCACAGTGTGGGAAAGAGCTTTTGGCTCTGGGTTTTCAAGGGTTCAGATGGAGATAAGGGCTACCTGGAAAACTCGGTTGTGGAACTGGATCCAGGTTTGGATTCTGAGGACCCGTAGTTTGTGGAGGTGTTTGGCTCTGGGGTTTTGGCTCAGGCACATCACTAACATTATCTATATTATAAAAAATACAACAGTAAACCTAAGAATGCTCAACATAGTGCGGAAAACCCACGCTCCCTCCTCCCACTAGCTTTTGGGGCAGGAGTCCCCTGGGTCCCTAAGGATCTGTGTCGCTCACCCGCCCTATCCCTCATGCCGCTGAGAGGTACTGGGGCTCAGTCCAAGCCATATGGCAGCTCTTCCCTCCCATGGTTCTTCTCTCTCTCTCTCTCCCCCTCCCTCCATCCCTGTCCCCAAAGTGTTTTTCTCACCCCTTGAAGAATGAGCCCATCAGAAACTGATGGGACCAAGGGCCAAGGTCACAGCTTGTACTGATCTCTTGGTGGCACAAAAGACAAGAGGGGTCTTGTTCTTTCTCACCAGGCTTGGATAAGCTCATCAGTATTCGCTTTGCTCTGGGGAGGGCTGGACCAGGGGTAAGAGGAGACAAACAGAGAACAATGGGAGGCCTATTCTCTTAGCCTTCTTTAGGAGCAGCCCCCTCCAAAGTGCTACGTGGAACTGGCCACCACAAGGCCTGAAGTTCGGCAAGTCTCCCACCCCCATGTTCCATGCATGGCATCTGTTGGGGCTTTGGAGTGGCTCTAAGTAGGCTATGGGCACAAAGTGGGTGGTCAAAGGCCTGCAGTTAGCTTCTTGGTCATCCTTGGTCTGGGCTGGGAGCCAAGGTGGCCCCAAGTGACCTCAGTCCCTTCCCCACTTTTGCCCAGTCCGTCTGGAGCAACTCCACCGGGCTCTCTTACAAAATGCCGTGAGACCCATGGGCATTGCTGACTGCAGGCTCTGACCTGAACAACTGTTCTTTCTGACTTAAGTCAGCTTGTGCATTCCTCTCTTCCAAAGCCCATCAGACAAAGCTTTGTCGGGGGTGCTCTCTCACCCCCTTTGTCTCCTAGATTCTCATCACACTGCCCACAGCCCCTCCCAGGGTACCTGCTGGCTTCTTGGTCTGCACTTCCCAGAAGCGAATGCCCTGCTTCTCATGAGATTTTAACACAAATCTAAATATAACTTATTTTACACAGCAAACAAGTCACTGGACTTTATCACCACAAACGCTATTGTGACCTGACTTTAGAAACCACTTTCAAATCCCTTATAAAAGTTTGCACTGGCAAACCAAACTGTCTGCTTTGCTTCGAGACCTGGTTCACCATAAGCCTCAAACAATCAGAGCTTGAAAAAGAACAGCACGGCGGTTGTGGAAATGGAACAACTTCAGCAGTGGCTGGCAGAATGACCTTTCATTTCGGGCCATTTCTTTGACAGGTATGTCACAGGTCTGTAGCCAGAGTGGGAACAGTGAGCACAGTGCCCCATCAAGAACACTGATGTGACTCACTGAAGAATATCCCCCTCCAAAAAAAACCCCTCTTTGTAATTTCAAGCAATGTTTAGAGTGTAAAATACCCAGAGACCTTTGGGCTTCCCAACAGGATTATAGAAGTTTCTGGTGGAGCTGAACCTGCCTGACTTTTCATTCATTTCTTTGATGGCCTGCCTGGAAATGTGACAGCCCACCCCACCCCCCAAGCGAAGAAGGCTGTCTACTGCCCTGACAAGTCATTCTTCCTCATCCTTTTTATTTCCTTCTAAATGCTTGAGAAACCTTCTTTTCTTCAGCCTAAACATGCTCAGTTTCTCCAGCTTCTCCAAGTACAACCTGTCTCCACAGGGCCTGTATCACCTTGCCGCTGTCTCAGGAGCCCTGTTGTCCATTCTAGCTAGCGTCCAGCACTGAACTCAGAATTCCATACAGAGTCTTGTCAGGCCAAACAGGTTATATTACTAATACTTCTAAAGCCTTTAGTTTCTGTGACGCATCTTCACCACGTCACGTATGTCTTTAACAATAGTGCTGTCCACCACTCCATTTAAGCCATTCACGGGAGCTGATGAACCTCACTGCATCTACCTGGCAGGTATTTGCTCAACCCATTTCCAGTTCAATGCTGAAGCTTTTCATTTCTAGCCAATTGTACTTGTATGCCCTGGTAATCCACACTTTCCACATTTAGCTGGCCTGATCCCGTACTTGGACAAGACAAGGGCCCTCACCAGTCAAGCATGGCTTTTTGACCCCACCATGGACACTGGCACAGATGGCACCATGTTGCAATTCACTGCATGCAGGACAGAAGGACAAAGTTGTTGTGTTTTGTTTTGTTTTTTTTCATTTGGCCCAAGTTCCTGGCTTCCTCGCCTCCTTTTCTTGCTGGCTGCCAGGGCCCTGGGATGCAACTCGAGGCTGCACACTCCATAAGCACAGTGCAGGAATCTGGGGTTCAGAAGGAGGGGGAGGAGATTTGGAGGAGGAGATGAGAGAAAGAGTCCCTTGTCTGAACACAATCCCCAGCCTTGTGCTCAGAGGCAGAACAATGGACACGAGACAAGAGGATGAGCCTCCGAGCCTGGCTCCCTGCCTCCCTGGCCCTCCTACCCTGGCCCGGCTGGCTCAGGCTCCCCCCACAGAAACAGTGCTCCCGTTGATGAGGTGTGTGGGAGCCAAGAGTAACCCTGGCTGGTACAGGGCGGAGGGGGGGGAGGGAGTGGGCCCCTTGGAAGACTCAGTGGCTGCAATTTCATCACAGAGCCCCCTTCCTTTATCATGCACCCTATGTCAATGTCATGTTTTCTCCATTAAAAAAAAAAAGATATACATTTCATCTTTCAAAAACAAATCTATACTTGACAAATGAATTTAATGCAGCAGTATAAAAAGATTTTATGCCCAGGGAATTGAAAGACAAAAAAAAAAAACCCACCAAAAACCAGATACTATTGGAACCAGAAAAAAAAAATACAACTCCTTCTGCAAATTCAATCCTCCCATTTTTACTCAGCTTTGGACTTCAAGTGTGTAAGATTTTTGGGAGGGGGAATAGTTGGCAATACTGCCTATCAGGAACAAGCTGAGCCAGTAAGTATTCCTTGCTGCCACTGGCTGGGCTGGGGGCTCCATCTCTCCCTCTCCCATTTAGGCAACTGGCCAGGCTCTTAGTTTGCCTGGGGATGTACAGGGTGAGGAGAGAAAGAGGAGGAAAGGACTAAATGGATTATATGTAGATTAAATTTGCAGGCCACACAGGACAGTTAGAACAGAACCCTACGGGAATCCAGTAAATGTAGTCTTTATTTATTTATTTATTGGATTTCTTCCCCGCCCTCCCGCCAAAGCAGCTCAGGTCCAAAAGAAACCCAGATGTCTCCTGGCCTCCCAGGGCTGACCTTTTCATTGATCACTGCCTCAAAATGAAAAGGATCTGATCGCTTCAAACATTAAAATATAGCATTGTCTATTAAGATTTATCAGGCCCATTCCGTGTGTGAAGCCTGCAACAATTTGCACTCTTTGCCTACCCCAATTAAAAACAGGCTGGAGAGGGAAACCCCTAATTAATTAATTAATTAATGTATGACATTGTGTCTAGAACAGCCAGGAGATCCGAAGATTGTCTGTCAGCTGCAAGTTCTAGCTCTTAGTGTTGCGCTAGTGTTGTTTTTTTAGAGGCTGAAAGAGCTCTGAAGGAACTGTGACTGGCCCAAGGTCACGAGCTGGCTTCATGTCAAGGAGTGGGGAATCGAACCCGGTTTCCAGATTAGAGTCCACTGCTCTTAACCACTACACCAAAAAGAGGAAATGACAGTAATATGGGAGAGGGAGAGGACTCTGGGAACATGCACCATCTTCTCCCTGAGAACTCTATTTGGGCACCCAGTTTCAAACCCTCTAACTGACCTCTACAAACAGCAAGGAGGTCCCCTGGAGCTATCCCAACCTTAAACTCAAACCAAGCCTCTGAGCCTCCCTAAAACTATAGCAGGACAGCATCTGGAAAGGAGAGACAGAAATCTCTCTGTCAACCATGCAAGAAAGGGTGACTCAAAAGAAACACCAGACTCCTTGTGGTGGAGGAGGATTCTTAGAAGAACCAGGATTTGCTGGCATTTGTGCCTATCAGTTCCACACAGGGGGAATTGTCTGCTTGGTCTCAAATGAGACTCATTGCCTTACAAGCTGGTACTGACCAGAAAGGATGGAAGAGCTCAGAAAGAGCGTGGTCAGTCGCAGAGGGAGAAGAAGAAATCTATTGAAGTCCATGGAAAGAACTGAGCCCAAACCTGCGTGTCTCTAGCTGCTTCAGGACATCATTTGGGGCTACTGCTAAATTTCTGTGT